CTGGCACCACTCTCGCCTGGCCCCCCGCCAGGCCCTCTATAAAGGGAGCTGAGACTGACTTTTGCCCTGAGCCCTGAGCCAACAGTGGGGGTGACTGGGCAGCCAGACGATGCAAAAGGGATCAGGAAGGGGCTGTGTGTCCCACAGGTCCTGCTCTCCTGACTGTCCAGGTGCTTACAGGTGAAGAGTGGGGAGGACAGCAAAGTCCCCCTCTCCCAGTCCATTTACCGGACGCCCCTGGTCTGTGTTCTCTGAGGCGAAGGAAGGGAGCTCAGTCTTGACCTGACCCCACCTCCCCCACCAGGTCTTGGGCTGGAACGTGGCTTCAGCCTTGTCCCCAGCACACACCCCTGTCCAGCATAGGTCACCTGCTTCTTCAGAGGCCTCCCCTCTCAGTTTCTGCAGGCTTTGCCTGGTGGCTATAGGGCGGTCATGGTGATCAGAGGGCCCAATGGGCTTGGGGGTGAACGGCACCTAGTGCGCTCACTGCCCCCACACTGGCCAGGCGGTGCAGCCACTCAGGCCAGGCCGCTGGCTCCCAGGCCTGCAAAGCCGGCGTCTGCCGCCTCTCGGGCGGCCCCGCGCCCGCCTCCACCATCTCTCCTGGGCTGGTTGGCGGCCCTGGGGCTGCAGGGGTGGGCTGCTCCCCCGGCTGCTGGCCTTGGTGCCGGCCAACCTGGTCCCAGCAGGGAGAGCCAGAGGTGCAGGTGGGGTTGTTCTCAGCACCCTGGACCCGGACACCCCTTCCTAGGGTTGCTACAGATTGGCCCTCAGGGTCCCAGCCCCCAGGCCAGGATCTGGCTATGTCAGTCTCAGAGCCGTGTGTGCTGCCGTGGGGGGCTTTCCCTGGACTGAGCTGCCCTCAGCTCAGGGACCCCGGAGTCGGAGTACAGTGCACATGAATCTGAACTTGGAGGCGTGCCTGTCGCTCCCTCTTAACCATTTGCCCCTCAAACTCTGGGAGAGGAGGGGCTGGGGATCCAGCAGGGAGCATGTCATTTCTGATGCCCTCACGGTCCTGAACACCACAGAGACGGGCTTCTGGACCTCCCACAACCCCACCGGGGCTCCCCAGCCCCCTCCCTTCAGCCTCTGTGGCCCCTAAGGGCAGAGGCAAGGGCAGCTGCCACACCTGCCAGTGCCACCCCCAGGCTGGAGCTGTGCCTCTAGCTCCCTCCAAGCACGAGGTGGCCACACCGGTCACACCACTGGCTCGCACCCTCCTGCAGCCAGACCGCGGCAGTTGGAGGCAGAGTCTTAATGAAACACATGGGAACGCTGAAGCCAAGACCCACTTCAACAGGAAGGACCGGAGGCCAGAGGGTGGAGGACACCCCTGAGCCCCACCACCCACCCCAGGATGTGAGGCAAGCTCTAATTCTGAAAACAGCTGGGGTATCCAGTGTTCTGGCCTAGGCCGCTGAGAGTGATGGGCGAGGCTCGGGCCTGGGAGGCCATGGGCCCTGTCCCAGGGCACTTTCCAGTAGTGAGGAGGGGGCTTTGCCGGTCTGCAGCCAAGACCCAGGCTGGGGCAGGGCTTTCTGGGAAGACCAGCTGGCCGGGCCCTGCCAGTCAAGATGACCTGGGAGTGGTCCCTGCAAGGGTTGAAGGGGGTAGGGACCGGCAGCTGGAGACTTGGCACTGCAAGTCTGGGAAAGGCTGGACTCTGGGACCCCTGGGAAGCAGAGAAACCAGCTTTGAGGCCACTCAACAGATGGGAAGGCAAGTGTCCTCCCCGCCCCTCCACTTTGCCTCCACAGGGCTCTAGGCCCCAGCCTGTGGCCACTCCTCTGGCCTGAGCACCTCCTGCCCTTAGGCACAGAAACTTTGGCCCCAGATTGGTCAGAGACTCGAGTGCCAGCTGGTGGGCTGGCAGGAGGGTATGCATTTTGTCAGGGGCCCTTTGTCTATCTGCCTGGACACCAGGCACCAACCACCCACCCCGGCAGTGGGGCGAGTGGGGACCTGCGGCCCAGATGACATGCTTGTCCCTCAGGCAAAGTGCCAGCTGCCGGCCTCTGTCCAGCACTGCGCACCGGCCTGCGCCCCGCCGCGCCCCAGGGCATCCGGGACACTGCCTCTGGGGCCACGAGGGAGGTCAAGGTCACGGAC